GAAGCTTCCGCCTATCTTGAGCAATCCATTAGCTCGATTTCTTGCACATTACTTGCCAGAGTATTCGATGGAAGACTATTAAAAACCTTTTTTATACAACCCGTCTTCACGTCTATTGTGCGAATCCCAGCACTTCTCACATTCAGTTCTTTTCCGTGCATCCATTATCCACGAAGATCTTCCAACGTTTACATATGGCTTCGGGTACTGCTTGAGAAATTTCACTCCATCTAGAATGTCGTAGAATAGTAGTCGAGCTGATTCTTGCTGGAGTGCTGAGATAGCCATGATGGAACGTCCCATTCAGATTGAAGAGTGTAATTTTTTCTCGGACAAGTCCGGTACTAATTCCCGACTCCAAAGGAATGAGAGGCATGGTTGGCCCGGAGAGGAATCGAAATGACACCATACCATCCTTGTGATGACCGGAATCACTACCATGGTGCTATATGCTTCACTTTTAAAGAAAGGTGACCTTAACGACTTCTGCTTCTATCTCCCATTCTACCTGTTGTCTTTCACCTGTAACCTCTTCACTAGAGTCATTGGACGATAGACAGTCAAGTAAACATGTAGAGCTTCGAAAACGGTTCATTGCGATGCAGCAGATCCACCTGATAACAAAAGTTATACAAGAATATACAAGGGTTCGTTCTGTTTAACTTTCGTTGATTTGAAGTAAGCTTTCGACTCAGTTGAGGTAGAAGCATCCGTGGATGCTCTAGAAAGGAAGGAAGCCACAGCTCAACATGCGAAGATTCTCCGTGAGCTATGTAAAAATTTCACAACCAAAATATCACTATTATATCAAGGTGTTAACACCGACGTGAAAAAAGGGCTTAGGAAAAGTGATAATATCTCGCCAAAATTAATCACTTCAGCACTCCTAAACGCCGTGCTAACATAGGAATGAGACAAGATATGAGTGAAAATCGATGGGCGGCAATTATAGCATCTTTACTTTGCTGACGACATCGTTCTTATAACATAATGCATTAACCAGACAGAACGAATGCTAGCTGACCTTGACAATGCCTGTGGAAAGATTCGACTTCGGGTAAATCTCAAAAAACAATGTTCGCGAGATGCGGATTGGTTTCGCACGCCTTATTCAAAGGGAAGAATATCTGCGAATGCTTCAGCTACGGCTATCTAGGTCGTAAAATGAACATAACAAACGACTTAGGTCCAAAGTTGAGCAGGAGGAGAGGTGCAGATCGGTGAGATTTCAAGGGCATCGAAGGTGTTGTGAGGAGAACAGTGAACACCCGACTCCGTGCCACAATTTGACTCAACGCTTCTTCCCGCCTTAACGTATGTGTCAGAAGCCTGGCTGCTACGTAGGCAGGGTGAAAGATCACCCAGCTTTATAGAACGTCAGTGGTAAGGAGAACGCTGGGAGCATCCCGTGTGGGAAAGGATTTAAAACTCCGACTTACATCAGCGATCGTTAATCAAAGATGCCATTTTGAACGTTAAATTGTCGAAGATAAGGTGACCCTTACAGTTAGTGCGTAAACTGTTCTCCTCAGGTTGCCAAACCAGCAGCACGAACAGCACCGACTCTGATCAAAGTTTTTAAGGAAAGCTTTAGATGAATGACGAGGCGTGCAGCGAGTTCCTAGAGCGAACAGAACTCACTGCTCCTTCCTCGCAGGTGGCAGGTAGAAAGGGAAAATTTACCGGGACCCGCTCGATTCAGTTGACAATCAATGGGACGACAGGCAATATAGGTGATGTGTTAAAGATATTTCATGGAAGAAGTCATAAAATATCGTGGGTCTCGGCTTATAAAATAGTTTATAGCAAACACTGTGTTTAGAAAACAAGAAATTACAAATGGTAACTATCTCAAGAATTCGAAATGTCCTTGTCGGAACGATAATTTTAAAGAAGAGCGTTCAGTTACTTTTAAAAAAAACCCGCCGAAACACTTTCGTTGCGTTTTCGCACTTTGACAACTTTGTCTCTCTACTCAGCATCTCTTCAAAAAATTCGACTAACACTTAATCGTCCCTGGCTCTCACCAATCGAGGAAACGATTTCGTAAATCGTCCACAATGCGCAATTCACAATCAGCTCAATATGGTCAAATACTTTAAAAAACGACAATGGGTGAAGAGCTCTTTCATTAGTGCACTTTTATTTCTAACAAAGACCCAAAGTTTCACAGTTTTGATGTCATTGTTTTGTTATTATAGTAGAGCTCATTAACGACAGTGATGCACTCTCTGATAAATTCTCGTTACCGTATCATCTGGAATTTATTCCGCAAATAAACAACGTTTTAAAGTGCCGGTCTTTCGTCGAAAATTCGGAAATCGGTTCGTGGTAAAGCTAAGGTAAGAGCATACCTGAAGTCAGTGGCAGTGCCTTATTTCCGGGGAATAAAATGTCGAACCGATGTCGATTTTCAAGGCCTTCTTTCGCCTTCTGTGTTTACGCTCTCAAATTTCCCATAGTTTACAGAGGCACTTTTGGTTTATTTTCGGGGTGTTTTCTGTTTTTGACATATTATATCATTTAACTGTTGTTTACTGCTCTTTTTATCAAGGAAAAAGAGGAAACAGATGCTTTAAAATTCATAGTATCTCACAGATCGCAGAAATATAATGCACTTTTCGTGTTCCCCCATGTCCTTCTGCCGGATGGCGCCAGTTTGTCAAACTGAACAGTGTAATGTACTTTACGCAGAAAAAAATTACTGTGTTCTATTTAAATGAATACCATTGCTGGATATGTACTAAGTTTCAGGAATGACTAAGCACTCAGATAAGGAGCATCACTATTTATTATCAGGAAATCAATCAAAATTTTCAAACGAATACTTTTTTTTCGCTCTAGTTCTTGTGTTCCACTTTCTTAGAACTGGTCTAAATTCATTCCACTAATGGAAAGCCAATCTGACTGTTTAGCGCAACATGCGCAACACAAGCATACACAACTGCTCATAGGGTTTTCAAAGATTTCGGGCTCGACTATGCCTAAAATTTTTGGGAGATAGATCATTTAATATGTTAGCACTGTTAACGCTCTAAAAACTACACATTGTGTTATTTTTACGTATTACTGTAGTCGAGTGACAGCAACATAAGTTACAAACAGTACTTTAAATATTTTTCACCATTTGGGCATCTATACTAAAACGTAGAATATTGGAGAAGTGTGGGCTTTCATCGAGATCTCAGAAATTTCGGAATAGTGCTTGGTTCACAGTACCAGGTCTTCGTCACATGCATACCCAGATTATTGTGGATCACCAGCTGGATTAGCGTTTTTACCCACCAGGATTCTCTAGGATCGGCAACGATTCATGTGATTAGTCAACTGATCGATGAGGAGAGAATTGGAGATACAGCAACTCTAACTTTTGTTGCGTTGTTCACTTTATTTACTTTTTATTGAGCCAGAAAATAAAATTTGCGAGGAAAACCAGCGTTGACGTGGCTTGTTGTTGTTGTTTCTTTGTGTTTGAGAAGATCTTATTCAATTTTTCATCTTTGCTTTCCGGTTTTCGCCAATTGATGGCCATTATCACTTTATTTTACACTGGCACTCAATATATGGGATATCTAGCGTAGTGGTTAGAGGTGCTATGGATCGCAAACGTTGTGTTTGGTTCAACCACGCGTTGTGGGGCACACTTTTCTTGGAGAATAAAAACATGGACTTGATGTATTGGTACACCATTGCAAATTGTCATACACGCCGCCATTCAATCGCCTCTGCAATAACACCAACAGAGTCGAATGCATATTGTATCCTTGGAGGATTAATCAACGTTTTGCGCTTTGTCCTTTATCCTTCTGCGTAGAAAAGGCTTATTCTGTAGATTGCATCACAAACATCGTCTCTGAATCTTATTGTCCCTAATGTAAAATTTGAAAAAGGTGAGAAAAAGCTATGAGTAATTGTTGCTCGGTTTTTCTGACTTTCTATTAACCACAGCGTTGCTCAAATAATTCATTGTCTTCTTGATGAACAAACATGAGGTTGGTGTTAAAGCATTTATTAACACAGTATAGCTGACATTTTGGTAGTTTCATCTTTTCCAGTGCCCGGAAATGTCAAATTGAAATCCACTCAGTCAAACACTGCCAGAGCCTTAGCAGACAAAACAATATATTAATGCTTAATCGCTGTGAACAGCTCCTTTTAAACACTAACCGTTTTGCTCTCCTCAAGTCCAAATTATTTTGAATTCGCTTACTCACGCTGGTGGTATCCAAATCAGAAAGACCTCTGTTTTTAGGCAAATTTTATTATTGTTTTATTTATTGCAGTGAAAAAAGAAAATCCTAAATTGCTGAGAAGTGCAATCGTTAGCAAAGTTACTAAAGAGTGTTCTGTTAGGAACATGGGAAATTCACTCAACCAGCAGTATAATCGGCAATGGTGGGCATCAGTCTGCAAGTAAATCGAACCCTATATTTTGCCACTTTTTGCGACTACGAATTGCGATAAGTTGTATAATTCCTTTTCATGCTTATATAATTTTAGTAATGCTAACATCCATGACTATTCGGATAAAATTAACTGTCGCAAGTGTAACAATAGTGACAAAAACGCTATCGGGGTTGGCTTTACTTCTCTCCCTTAACATCTATATCTCTGTTTCTCTCTTTGTCCCTCTTTTCGTCTTTAGCTCTTTTTTGTTTCTCTCTTTCTGTCTAATTCTGCCTACATGATTTCGTCGTTATACTGCATAGAGAAAGAATAATCACGGAAATGGTAGTAAACGTTGGTGATTCTGTCATAATATGTCTCACTTCTAGTCAGTAGTACATTTGGTAAAAATAAACAGTTCCAAAATATTAGAAAACATTGGTTTTACAGCGCTTTTGTTTCTAAATAAATCCTAACCGTTGTATAAGCTGCAGTCGAAATCGGAGCGTAACTTCCACAAACACTGAGAGGCGGCCGCGGCGTGCAAGTGGTTCTAGCGGTCTTCATTGGTTTCGTCTTACCTCGACTGTGGTTATTCTACACCATTTCAGATTATGTTTAGTTTATTACTGATATTTCTACCGTGGGTGCTAGGTGAAGTGGCCAATTACAAGACTATTCCGAAAGGCAACAATCCGACACTTTACTCAAGTGATGATTTTGTCATACAACTCGATGACTATACATTTAATGATACCATATTCTGCACTGGAAAGAGCTGTACCTCATATTTGGTAGAGGTTGGTTTGTGTTAATCGCTTTTTTTTCCAATTTTGTTCCTGAGATTGCTAAAACTTTTCGGAAACAGGTGCAATGATAGTGTCAGTCTAATATGTTTGATGTATAGATCGTTTTCTTAATGGCTCAGCAAAAGAACTGAAATACCATAAAGTAAGTGCATAAAAAAAAAGAAAAAAACAAAAAGATGGGACGATACTTTGTTTTGTATATACATATATACTTATATGTATATATGTTTTAAAGTTGTTTGAATCTATTCCTATATAGACACCGACTTCAGTAATTCACTATTTTCTCGATGAGCACCCACGACGTTATCATACTATTTATTAACAGTAGCTGGCGTATTGTCAAACTTCGCCTTCTTCAGAACCTAGAAAGATCAAGTTGATTGAAATCCAGTCGGCTCAATATTTCTATAACCTTAACAGAAAAGCCTTGAAACCTAAATTTCAACCGTACTGTAAGCCAAAACAGCTTGTTCGAACATTTACCCTTTTCTATGAGTCTAAGACTGAGACCTAAGAGTGCTATTTTAACGTAAGTGGAACAAATTATCCTTCCATGTTAACTCTGTGCTGTTGATTCCCACGTAGAAAACTCAGCGAGAGATTCAAGAAAACTCTGAGGTTTGTGAAGAGCTGTTTTGTTTCCAACGCGACCGAAACCTAGGTTTCGTAGCCTTTTTTGGTAATGTTATGGAGGTATTTGGCTGACAAGATTGTAGACAGCTTGCTTCGGCTATTGTTAATAAATAGTATAATAACAACCTCGTGTGCTCATCGAGAAGACTGATAATCATTAATTAAAGCGAAGGTTAGTAGAAAGTTAGTTTTGGAATTCACCACATAATGCAGCTATGTTCCGTGTTGTCCTAAAAATTTCAAAACATGTGGAGGTACTCAGAGAACTTTCGGTTTAACAGAGAAAAAAAACCGAGAAAAGTAAGAACTAGAAGAATATTCAGAGAAATATAATATCAGCCTCTCACATATAGTTTTCCCTCATATATTTTAAATTCTATGAAACTGAAACATGTGCTTTTAGTTCTATTCGGATTGGTGTGGTCACTGTCGTTCATTTGCTCCTCTCTATAAGGAATTGGCCAACGATGTTCGTGGTTGGCAAGATGTCGTACAAATTGCCGCCATTAATTGTGCCGACTCTGTGAACCATATAACTTGTCAAAGTAATGGAGTTCACTTTTTTCCATTCATTAAGGTAATGATTACTTCTCGCGTTATAGTTGTGCTTCTAAACAGTTAGTGCAGTTTTGCAGTTTATTTGCTTAATTTTATTTCTTATGACCCTATATCACGTGTAGTATGCTATTCCCAGCACTTCGTTTCGTTCCCTCACATCCATCATCAACGAAAGCCTTCAAATTTGTGCATGGGTTCGACTGCCGCTTCAGTATTCTGTTCTACTTAATAAGTGTAGTTGGGTGTTGATCGAGCATATAGAATCTGTCTGAGATCCAGGAATAGTTGAAATGGTATGTCTCCAGGTTTTAAAATGGTACCATTCGCCAGCCTTTGTGAATCGGAGAGAATTTATGAGCAAGCCTTACATGAACTTCCCAACCCGGAAGAATGGGAGACCGAAGTCGTTGGCGCAGAATGAACTTGGGCCGTGAGCGTATTGAATCGCATTTTTTCCACAAACCTACCAGCGCTCAACTATAGTTTATTCCTCAACAATATGTCAAAATCACTTAATTCGAGTTATATTTTCTATTATTGGATCTATGTAATGTCTTCATCCATTGTCCTTATATAAGGGTTTTTTTTTGTTCCAGTACTTTCCTCGGAATTCTACTCATGCCTTCAACGAATCCAAGTTGCGTCCGTATCATTCACTAGCCGAAATGAGAGACCAACTTACAAAGGTATGTTAGTTAATAACTGAGAAATATATATATAAATATACATACATATATGTATATATAAATTAACGTCTTTGGTTCTCGTGGTTTGAAAAGCCGTAAAAAATGAAAAAAAAATAAGCCATGCTAAGTATATGTAGGTTGTGATGGACGACTATTCAGTGAATCGTTTCGAGGAGTGGCCAAAGTTTGACTATCTCGGCGAGTGAGTTTCACTACCTCTTTGAATAGGCTTCTTTACCGAAAATTCCTTAACTAGTTGCTCTAACATGCAGTGTTGTAACTTGGGACGAGCTTTGGGATGGATCGCCTGCTAGTGCTGAACATTTGGCGGTAGTGTTTGAGAATCATCAGGCAAGCCTTACAGGTGCACAAGTGAGTCGAAATTTTTCCTCTTAATAAACAACTGTTAGCCCATTGACAATGACGCCTAATTTTGCTTCCCACCGCATGGAGCGCAGCCTAAATTATGGATTTGCTCGCTTGTTAACAATACACAGCAGTTTTTTTTGAAAATTAAAGTGCCTTAAGCCATAATAAAGCGATTATAGAAGAAACTCTCTTCCACTGTTTTATAGGTATGAGGCTTCTGCACACTACAATTTACTACGAGTTACAATGGCCCTCTATACAAGCACTTGGCTGTCACCTCTTAGTAGGATTCGGCAGCTTATTTTAAACCTTTTTCGGTATTTTTTCTATACCCACGCAATCTCTATACAATAACAAACATGAGTCATAGCAATCAAAATAAGGCGACGGTTAATTGTCATTCAAATCGCTTCTGAGTGAACTTATACGAAATAAGGTCCTCTATAAAGTGTTAAATGCAGAGAATAGTATCGCTAGTCTCACTCCTCATACTTTGATATGCTTTTGATTAGCTAATGAATGGATATAGCACGCAGTACTTTTTTATAATGCATAGCAAAATACACATATACATAGATATATATGGATATACATAGCTTGGCAAAAAAGTTCTGAAATGCACCGAAGTAAAAATGAACACTGCAGTGGATGTGTCGCCCACTTGGTTCGCAACGAATGTACACCGTAGAATAAATATCGTCCGTTGCCGAGCAAATAACATTATGCTCAGCATTGCGACAACCAGTTACACAATAAATATGAAGTAATCTATAACCGCATAAAGTCGAAAATGTAAAATTGTGCGCTCCCATCGAGGAAAGGCATTTTGAAAAGGTAATGCTATTAATTTCAATACAGATAGGAGGATTGCATAAATGCAGAGGTGAGCAAAACGACCATAGCGAACACCAAAGTGAAGCATCCACTTCAGTGATGAATGCAAAACATTGCATGGAGCAGCCTCTTTTTATATACCCCCTATTCTTTTTTCATAGCATGGTACGATGTGAAATGTAACCACAATGATGCTGAGATAATTGCAAAACTCCGAACCGCCGGTGTCTGTGGTGGGGATCGAACCCGTTATTATGCTTTCCAGGGGCTAACGTATTCATCACCAAGCAATGCTTACCTGTCTGACACTGGCGGTCCCGAATTTTGTAAATAGTTCAGCAACGATGTGGACAGGTAGAAAATATCTGAAACGAGGTATAAATTATTGTTATTATTATTATTATTAAATTATAAATTTACTGACTAGAATTATCCATGTACTCGCTCTGAAACGCAAGTGGTTTCCTAAGAATGTCCCTCGCTCTGCTGCGCTTGATCAAATTTTATCTTCCAACTGAACACACATGCATACCATGAGTCTGTGGGCGTGCCTTTAGATATGCGGATTGTATTCTACACATAGAGTCGTCGAAAAGCTTTAGCGAAATTACTCGGAAATGTATAACACGCAATCCTGTAGCTCCTCCAACAGATAATTCTCCAACTATTCTATGATAACTCTAGCGCCTATGCCACACCTCGCATATCCAGTTTTCTGCGAAGTAACCTAGCGAGCTATCCGCGGACGCTCTTCGGAAAGATTGTAATGATTACTCACTACAAACCCTCGAGAATTAATAGAGACACAACTAGTAAATGATTGTGGTGATACCAAAACATTTTAAATTAGTGCATTAGATCTCGTGTTTGCCGAGAGTAGTAAAATCATCAGATTGGTGGAACATTGTCGTAGTTCCCTTGATATTTCATGCAATCTTTCGTCAAAGGGTCATGTGCGACCGTTGTCGTTAAAACTGATAATGGATCCAGTCCACCAGGTTCTCCATATGTCGCACGGTTCCTGATTTTTGATTGTCAAAGGAGTCGGAGCTCTGGAATCTCTATTTCACTTGCTCAATGTAATATAAGCCTAACATCAGCTTCTCGACACATATTCGATAACACCAAGCCTTTAAAATATAGAATCATTACAGCACACACGCACTCCCACTTCATTCACGTTTTACGTGTAAGATATGAGTGTCTATTTATAATGTTACACACGTATCTTAAATTTTAAGATTTCCAGCTACTACTTGACTTGCACAAGCAACGAGATCTCCTTGTCTTACGTCGGTGCCTGAAGAATCATCCATTGGCGGACGCGCTCCATCTTACTGATTTTCCCTCTTTGGTTATTTTCAAGAGAGGAGAAAAAAAGCCAATTGTTTTATCTGAGTAAGAATTTGTGTAATTTCGTTGTAATTTAGTTTCACACCATAGATATCGTTTCTACATGATTCTCTCTGTTCATTACTGATGCGCCCACGATGAAGCACGCAACCCTTGAAGTGTCACATTAAAATATTTCTGAGGATATTTGGCATAGTGTCATCTTATTAGTGACACCAACATAGTCTTCACCCTAATTAAAGAAAAAATAACAAAGGTCCATTATTATAGGTCAATCCATTTGAATTTTTTTCTAACTTGTTTCTATGATAAGTTATTAGTTCTTTTAAAGGTTTTATCCTTGAACTTATTAAAATTAAAATTTTAGACTTCGTCGATTACTTTTATCAGAGCTGAAGAATTTCATGAATGGTATGGCGTACTCGTCAACGAAATCAGTTCAATTCCATGGTCGCAAAAACCGAACGAATCCTTGTGATGTGGATCCTGAAAAGTGACTAGTGTTAATTACATAACACTATGAACTCTTAACTCTTTTATTTACTGCCTTTTTCTTCTTAATGGCAGGGTATGCTGTGAAATATAACTCGTATGAAGTGCTGAGATATCTGCAAAACTCCGGACCACAGGTGTATGCAGTGGAGAACGAACACGCGCTGTTGTCCTTACCGGGGAGTAGCGCACTTCACCACTACACCATCCGGGTCCTTCGCTTTGCATGTATCTCAGCTAGCTCAGCATGTATCCCACCTGTGGTCCGGAGTTTTGCAGATATCTCAGCACTTCATACGAGTTATATTTCACTATGAACTCTATTACATTTTACTGGCTAGAAGATTGAATAAGACTGGTGCTTTTGCCAACTTTTCTAATTGCGTTGAATCTTAAGTTCTGAAATCCTGAAATCCGAAAAGCACGATATTCTGTTAATTTTCAGGTGTCGGGGATTATTCTATGCGTCCGAAGTGGATATGCTGAAAGCAATGCGGTACGCTTTATACCGTGAAAGCTCAAGAACAGGTGGTCCATTGACCGGTACGAACCTAACGGCCCTTCATTCGTTCGTTGGCCTTCTCGCGGATCATTTTCCCATGACAACGACATATGGAAACAATGTCAGTGATTCCTAAGAACGATCTATATCCACCTTTCCTCGAGCATCCTACTGGCGAAACCATCAAAAACAAAGAAACGTGCTGATCCTAAGCCAATCCTATCAACTGGCAATCATTTACATTGGTATTTTACACGAATTTATTTCTTTTATTTTTGTAGACCGTGCTTGAGCAATCGATGCGAGCTGTCAAGGTCTTTGCTCGTTTGCGAGAATTTATAGAGAATCGCGGTCTAGACAATGAAATAACCACTGATGATTGGCAAAAGGAGTTCATTGCAGCCGAGGTAATCATAACACATGCTCCTCTGTGGTTTCGTGCAAAAAAAAACCCAGCATTAGAGTTTGAAAACTGCCAATACCGAGGTTTTTAAACAGCATGCATTTACTTCCATAGAAAAACACAATACAATACAACGCCAATACAAATTCGTCAACCATATGCGACTATAATCAGCTGTTCTAAACTTCCTCATTGGAAGTCACGAAAAAGCGGCTCTGAAGAAGGCGATACTGCCGAAACGTCAGCTAGCGTTGTATTGTATTGTGTTTTTATGGAAGTAAATGTATGCTGTTTAAAAACTGCCAATACCTTCAAGAAAACATGTAGGAGTAGAGGCATACTTGAATGCTTTGATAAACCGTCGTCATGAATCGTGAGGGATTCAGTTCAATTCTTATCCATTTTCTTTTTTCACTATCTACGCACATGAGATTAGTATCTTTCTCGCATAATAACAACGAGTATTATTCTATGTTGTGAGGTATATCTTTCTTAAATCGAGCCCTGTACACATTCGGTTGACGTGAGCTACATGCATGTCAACCTTTATCGCAAGTAATCAATCAAGTGGACGCACATATCTTCTAGAGCTAAACTCAACTGTGTTTCTCATTTATTTTCCTCATCACGAAAAACAAACTGTTCTTGAAGATTTGAAGTTGCAAAGCCTATCTAATGCTATTTCTGCAATCTCATCACACTACATCTTGAGGCTTTCAACTTACAAATGAGTCAGTCAAAAAGGTTTAGATAAAAAGAGGTTTTTACTCGAACAAGGTGTTCCCGTCGTCTTAGTCAATTGGTTAGTTGCTGCTTTTTTTAGAGGTTGATACTGAGATAGACGTGGCTTTTCGTCGTCAGTTGAACTCTTCCTTCTCCTATCCAACCAAATTCATTAAACACTCAAAATGAGAAACAATTTCCGTTATCAATGTTGGATCTCTGATACGATTAATTTCTCATTATTGAAAAACTCTCAGTATTGGAGAATGCTTTCGAAATGTTAATAGCATTTCCCATAATATTCATCATAGACCAGTATTTGATTCCCAACAAGCAAATTGTCGAGTATGTTGCAATGAACACTCGGGTACGTGACATCGCCTATTTGAGTACAATTCTTTGTGCAGAACTTGTAGCTCGACAAGTACAGGTAGTTGTAGGGGGTTCGTATAAGGCATTGGAACTCTTTAGAGAAATGAAAAATAAAGATGTGGTTCGTGAATCAGATTATCTGCAGGCTTCCACAGTTATTCAATTGAGTTTGGTCAGAGATTTTTAGTGTGTACTTAAACAGATGGTATCCGTGGAAAGCTTGTCGGAATCGCTTAATAATCTTATCAAGCGATAGTTACGACTATTACTCTGATCATCTTTCTTGGAGGCAGAGAACTTGCGTAGGCGAGGCCTATTACTTGTTTTTGTTCAGAGAAATTGTTGGGATCTGCTACATCGTTCATAGAGTAAAAGAACTTCCAAATAAACTTCACTGCCACTAATCTAACTTTGTGGTAAAAATTCTGGAGAAGTAATCCTTGTTTAGAAATCCTTTAATAAATCGTTACTCCTACAGGTCTCAAGCTTCACGTAATAGATTTTTTCTTTGCTGCTTCATCGTGCTTTTCCTACTGTTTATTTGTAGACTTAATTATTGAGATTATCAAAAGAGTTAAATCGTTTGGTTTTATGGACTAATGGTCATAGCGATACAAATGCTCACAATGACATTATCGGTTCAATTATGGCGTGCTTTAATAAAATGATTGTAGATATCGGCGCGTCAGTCATATTTGCAGATAATTTAGCAAAAAGTGCTCATTCCGTATACGATATAACTTTTCCGTCCTTGTTGATGGCAGTTATTTCATAGTTTATTGGCGAATTCTATATCCTCGTGCGATGGGAACAGTGGTCGGGATCACTGAAGAACGTTGGCTTAACAATAAGGATAGACCACACAGGCACCAGCTCTTTTGCTTATAAGGACGTTGTCGCTCTTTGTTTAAACCGTATTCCAAGAAAATGTTCTTGCCTAGCCATTGTGTACTTTCTCGTTTCTTTCTTAAAAGTGAAATTCTATGAAAAAAGAAGAGTTATGGGCAGGGTATAAGCAGGATGGTTTTTGTGTGTGCCCTCTAAGTGAAGTTAACGTAGTTTTATATCATACTACTTTTCTTAGGAAGAAGCTGGTAATCCATTTGCGGTGAATTCTGAATGGGAACACTGTCGTGGATCAAGTGGCCAGTATCGCGGCTACACATGCGGTCTGTGGGTTGCATTCCACGCCATCACCGTTTCTGCATATAAACAAGTTAGCGAACACTGTAAGTTTACCATTAAGAGATGTTGAACGAAAAATTCCCATCCTTGCCACAACAAGGATATTTTTTAAACAAATCTGGATTAAAACTAGGAAAAAATTTTTCATCAATTGCGTCGATTTTAGGACTCAATCGACTCAATTCATTAAAATTTTTTCAGCAAGCGATTTTAAACCTGCGGAGCCACTAAAAGCGATTCGTGCATGGATAGTATCGTTCTTCGGTTGCCTACACTGCCGTGAACATTTTTTGAAAATGACTACAAACACATTCCCGATAGAGACGCAGGTGCAGAGAAGAGGATTATTTTACAAATATTTTTAAATATAAAAGATAATGGCAAAAGATACGAATAAGTGCTAGGGCATAAGAAACACCTTGAGAAAACTGACTTAAAAAAAAAGCGTGAAAAACACAACAGAAAGAATTGTTTCGAAATAGAGAAGAGCGGTTCATCATCTATTAAATTATGCTTTCAGGTTCGCAATCCAGATGACGTTTTCATGTATTTATGGAGAACTCATAACATAGTGAATGCACGACTTCAAGGTCGCGATACAGAAGATCCACTGTATCCAAAAGTTCAATTTCCAGCAACATTTCTTTGTCAAAACTGCACATTAAATGGCTCTCTGGTCGACAAAGAAGTCCGAAATTTCCTTCTCGATTACTATTCCAGAATCAAACCATTCCAAATGAAAAATTTTTTCTAATTTAGAACTACACTAAAAAAATTTTATGTTTCCCTAAGGTATCAGTATTGTTACGTTTTTCTACGTTTTCGTCCGATGCCTCTTGGGCGTGGTTCTGGAATGTAAACCCAGTTAAGTTTAACTATTTTGTTCGTAATTCATTGCAGTTGCCTAACTCCTGTTTTTCTCTATAATATTATTGTTTTCTGTCTGAGTTTACTCTTAACTTATTCGTACTTTTGACTTTTTTAGCAAACGAGATAGATTTTGTTGCCAGGTTTCGCTTTATATGGAATAAACTAGCTCAAGAACGTGTTTAACCTGGCATCCATAAAAAGCTCAAGCTCCTTAAAAAGTGGAACGATTATAGAGAAATACAGTCCCCCGAATCTGTTCTGACAAACCAAAACTACACATATATATATATATATATATATATATATATATATAAATAATGTCAATTTTAACCCTTTTATTTACTGCCTTTTTTCTTTTTAATGGCAGGGTATGTTGCGAAATATAACTCGTATATAATGCTTAGATATTTGCAAAACTTCGGACTACAAGTGTATGTGGTGGGGAACGAACGCGCTAATGTCTCTTCTGGGGAGTAGCGCACTTCACCACCACACCATCCGGGTCCTTCGCTATATATATATATATAACGTTTTTTTTTATTTTTTGCCTACCACAATTTTCACGGCAGGGCACTAACCGAGATGCAATCACAATGTTGTGAGATATACGCCAACGGGATTTCAACTACAGCCTCAGCTTAAAATTATAGTAGGCAGAAAATAAAAAGTAAAGTAGTTCCTAGGATCGACTTTCTATTAAACTCGGCATTGGAATATGAATGCGTTGTTTCCCAATCGCGAGGTGGTTAAACGGCATACATTTACTTCTATAGAAAAACATAATACAATACAACACTAGTTGATGTTTCGGCTGTATCGCCTTCTTCAGAGCCTTGAAAGGTCAAATTGAGATGTGATCTACTTAGGCAAACACTTTCATAACCCCAGCAGATGAAACATAACAAATAAATTTGTATTCGCATAAGAAACAGCTTCATTGAAACACCTGCCGTTTATTTGTTGTAAATATTTAAATTAGTTGGTGGAGTTGTAAGTAAGTATAGTTGAAAATCGGACAACGACCAGCCAACCCTTGCCATTGAACTTATGTCTAAGTTGGAAGCACCAGTAATCGATCTCAGGCCACAGGCCATTACTCTACAGTAGGCATAGAGAATGTTGTGCATCGTTTAATAGCTACGCTTACTTCATCGTTAATAAAAGGCAATATAATAATAATTGCGGACACGAATATATTGGTGAAATGGGCAGACCTTTGTGTATCCGTATAAAAAAACACCTAGAGGGCAAACGAAAACTAAGACAAAGTACCCTACTATACACGCATAGGATACAAAAGCATAGCGGAGACGATTTTGATGTAAAAGTTACTATCCTTGCACAGGAGACTAAAACACCAGCGCGAAAACTTCTTGGGGTTTTTTGGTTAAATGCCAAAAACCCTACAATGAATAGCAGAGAGGAATGCCCGGAGGTCATACGCGACCTGATCCCGTAAGTTCGCATTAATTTCTCATGTGGGATGGTGCAGACACCAACCATATGCGACAATAACCAGCTGTTCTAATCTTCCTCATTGGAAGTCACCCAAAAAGCAATGAGTTTTTGGAGAAGCTGTTGATCATGTAATTACCATAGAGTTTTTCGCCTTTTTCTGAGTGTTAAAAAAGTAAAACATTGTGATTTCAACTACAGCATCAACTTAACTGGGCTCAGTGCCGATGTCGGTTCTCTAGATCAATCCAGTTGACGGGTGACTGCTGATGGCGCTGGTCAATAGAAATAGCTGAGAGACAGGCGAAACGAAGGACCCGCATGGTGTGGTGGTGAGAGCGTCACTTCCCGGAAAGGACAATAGCGCGCTCGTTCTCCACTCTAGACACCTGCGGTCCACAGTTTTGCAAATATCTCAACGACATGTATATATACATATATAACTTGAAACACCGACTTTCTATAAACCTCGGCATAGATAGTTTATATATTTATTTATGTGATCTTATAAACTGATTTTCTTAAACTGATGCGAGGTTGGTACAGATCTTCGTTGTCGTTGTCGTTGTTTTTGATGTTGCTGGTCGATGGCTGACATTTCGGCGACTTCGCCTTCCTCAGAGCCTGGACGTATTTAATATTATAATATTTTTATTATTCGGTAGAAAAGAAAGATTAAAGTGTTAATGAAGATCAGACTTTCAAATAGACACCATATTGAACAGAAAGGCCACTCAACGTGATGTTACGTGCGAGACTGGCCCAAACATAGTTCACGTGGGGTCGCGAGCAAGACACGCCCCGGGGTCAAAATACCATTTTGAAATAGGGCACCAGGTCATGCGTGATAGTGAGGCATTCGTCCTTCCGGTTCATCTATAGATTTTTGAAATTTATCCAAAACGCTGATAGTTTTCCAGAAATCCAGAAATATTTTGGTGTTAGGTAGATGGGTTGGAATGAATTTTAGGATAAAGCTTAGAAACCACATTATTCCACCCGTTGGCCTGCCTATACAACTGATGATAGGTCTAACTTTATATGATGATGGGTTTGTTGACGTAATATCTACCTACCTACCCTTCAAAAGCTACCCTTCATATCAAATGAAGTAAGTCACGCCATTAAAAAGTGCTCAAGAAAAAGTGGTCGCTATGTAACGATTATTGACATTCCACCCAATACCCTACGCCGCTAGTTAGTTCGAAACCGTCTCTATGATCATTTGTACAGCTCAGAAAACTGTATGATCTGTTCTAACGGGAGAGACGGGGATTGCATGAGTTTAGGTACAATATACTTTTTCCCATGTAATGCATGCGGCGAGGAAACGGGAGAGACGGGGATTGCATGAGTTTAGGTATAATATACTTGATCTCATGTAATGCATGCGGCGAGGGATATATCGGAGAAAACGGGTAGACCACTTTGTGTCCGCATAAAAGAACATCTAAATGGAAAAGCTAAAATCCGTTTAAACACCCCTCTAGGTACCCATAGGGCACAAAAGCACAACGGCGATGATTTTGAAGTGAATGTGCGGCGGATCCTGGCGCAGGAATCAAAAACATCAACGCGCAAGACTCTTGAGGCGTTTTGGATAAATTTCAAAAATCCAAAGATGAACCGGAAGGACGAATGCCTCACTATCACGCATGACCTGGTGCCCTATTTCAAAATGATATTTTGACCCCGGGGCGTGTCTTGCTCGCGACCCCACGTGAACTATGTTTGGGCCAGTCTCGCACGTAACATCACGGTGAGTGGCCTTTCTGTTTAATATGGCTTCTATTTGAAAATTTGATCTTCATTAGCACTTTAATCTTTCTTTTCCACCGAATAATAAAATTATTCTAATACTAAATACGTCCAGGTTCTGAGGAAGGCGAAGTCGCCGAAATGTCAGCCATCGACTAGCAACATCAAAAACAACGACAACGACAACGAAGATCTGTGCTAACGTTGTCACCGTCTCATCCTTTTTGAGTCTTCCACTTATTTAATGGAGGCGGCCGCAATGAGTCTTACATCGGTCAGGAATGTGCCTGGATCAGGAGCTGTGAGGCGAGGGCACGTGGAATTACAAGATTTCTCAATGCCGTCATAGTGATTCATTTCTAGATTTTTCGAAAATATCCAAAATCTGTCAGCAGGTTTATGTGCTGATGGTTTAGCTTTTTCTTCCAGGGCAATGACTTTTGCTTCAGCATTTTCTCCATTATGTTTTCGCGCCTTGCGAGTGCATAGTGGAGTGTCTTGTTCAAATTTTCCAACTACATGCTCCGTTATACGTATGTAGGGTAGCCTCCTCGTTCCGCGAATGTATTCCATCTCGCTTCCTTTACAACGGGGCGCGTCTGGCGCAGTAGTTGGAGGAGCTCTGCAACGCACAAGTGGAATCGATCCCGGCGCCCATGGCCCACCAAGCCTTCCACCCCTGCAGGGTGGGCAAATTGTTACCAGACTTGTCACAGAGGATAGCAGCAGTGGCTCGATGCACTGGTTAGCATCCGCCAGCCATTGTAAAGATCAGAGTTTGCATTCAATCATCTTCAAACGTTGCTTAATGAAGGCGAATGCATGGCGCATCCCCCAAGGATTGGTCAACGCCGGGAGCTTTATCCATTTCATTTATCCTTTACTAGAGTTTGGCCTCACCGTACCCAAATTCGGGCAACCGCTGTCGGTACCGTTGCAGCAAATTATACAATTTTACGTTTCGCATAGGTGGTTATGTAATCGTTTACGAACAAGCTGGCATGTTAATGTTCGGTAGTATTAAAAGCATTGTCATCGATACCTCAAAGTCGACCCGTTTTAAATAGCTCCTTTTGGCTATGCCTACTTCGTTGGAAACGAAGAGCAGAATAAATGCGACCTTATCCTTGCTAGAATTATGGTTTGAAGGTGTCGTTTTTCCTCTACGCGTATCCCAGTGAACTACAACTTCGCATGCAATGGAAGTGGTTATTTGCCGCATCAGTTTCAAGGATTCTTACTTTCTTCCTGAGCGCACGCTGGTGGCTGTTCGGTACATGCTTCTCAAAAGCGTCATTTTTGCGCGCGAGAGGTGAGAGTATAGATAATCGATCAATACTTTTTTTTGTTACTTGGCTTTTGGTATCACTTGGTGATGCAACCGTTTCCGGACACGTTAATGTGAACATCCAGAAATGGATGCCAGTTATCTTCTGGTTTTCCTCTGGTGAATTTTACGGTCTCTGATTGCTTCTTCAATAACTCGAACCATTTGTCGTTCTCAAAGTAGATGACGAAGTAATAATCTAAATGTCCACAGCGGGGTACTTTCTGGTGTATTTACTACAAAAATAAAGGTAGTAGCGAAGCTTGCTGGTATTCGCTGTCCCACTGCCAACCTCTCAGTTTTGCGAAATAATTCGAGCACTATCCGAAGACTCAGTAATTTAG